GAGAGGCCTGAAAGGCCTATGAAGCGGTATATAAGTCTACTGCTATTGCTATCTACTGCTATTACTTATTTTATAAATGCAATGATCTGATGATTCAAAAAATGATAAATACATCTGATCACACTAAAATGAACTTAATTCATCAAAAATGTTCAGTTCTAAGGAATTCAACAGTTTGTTAAAACATTGTTTGTCCACTTTCTTATGCTGGAGATGCAACAGATTTTTGCATCTGCAGATTAATATGCATACTTCCATATGCCTTTGATAGTTACTTTTCAGTGAATGTTCCTACTATTGTAAATTAGGTTCTTGGTAGGAAGTTCTGATTTAAAGATGTTGATATGTTGGTAAATTATATTCCACAAATTTGGAATTTGTCTATGAACTTTATGTTTAATATGCTTAGACTATTCCCAAAAAGTCATCATGAGTTCATGGGAAAAGGCTAGCATACTAGATGCCAAACATTGGCTTTAAAATGTGCCAACTCTCAGCCTTTGAAGGTTCTTGAACAGTGTTAAAAAGGACTGGACAATATGATTCCTGTAGTCAAAGTTAATTATATTGTCCAAAAACTGTATTGTAGCAATGTTTCTATAACCATACTATTGTATCTGATTTCTTAAATTTCTGTTTGCTAGCTTATTTTGTTATCTTAATTAAACTATTTAATTAAGGAGAATTAAAGATTAGATGATCACGTCATGTATATTCAGTATTCTAATATATTTTTATGGTTTTTATTGCTGGGAATAGAGCTGCCTCTAACCTCTTAAACAGGCAATGTACAATATAAATAAAACAGAAACTTCGTAAACTTTGCGAGAAAGTTTAATTTCATCCTACATAATCAAGTCTTCCATGTTTACCTGTCTCCCTAAGCTAGTTTTGATTTGAAATCACATAATTTATTAACTTCATGAGCAACAATATTATTTCACCTTGGTTGCTGATTCTGTTTCCAATACAGTATAATGTCACAGTAGATACTATTGCAGATAATCCTTGACTTACA